ATATATATATATAGGCAGGTCAGACTGTGTGATGATGAATCACAAACCAGTCTTTCGAAAACTGCACAGGATGATGTTTACCACCAAAGTTTATGACTGTTTTCAAAGTGACGTGACAGCATCTGGTTTGTGTAACTGGTTGTTTTGGAGAATAATGTTGATATGATGTTATATTTACTTGCATCCCAAATACCATGCTTAACAGTTTCATTTCTGTTCCTCCCATTGGGTCAAAAGATTTTTTTTTATAGTTTTACCGGAACACAGTCCTGTAATTGCCATCATTTTTGATCTACTATTTAAGATCTCACGGCGGGACAGATTCTGGTAAACTTTAATTGAATAGTGGACACAGAGAACCTGTGTGTCCAACCACTAACTTGTACCGCTGTCACGTCAACAACAACCAAACAACAGACCGGACAGGTGGTTTTGAGTCAGACTCTGCAGACTCAGTGATTCACTGTGTTTTAGACTGCTTTGCTTTTAGAACAAGACACCAAATTAACTAAATTGGAGTGTAACAAGACGACTCCCTCCCTCCCTCCCTCTGTCTCTCTCGCTCTCTCTTTTCTATCTCTACCTCTCTCTCCCCGACCAGCGCACAAACACACAAACAGCCACCACAGTCAGACTACAGTAATCTCCTTATCCCTTTTTGGCCTTATTCTGCTCTTTTCTCCCTGTGTCTCAGCTCATGTCATCATGATTATTATCATTATTATCATTATGACATGTCTGTCTCCCTGTAATAGGCTATACTTTCCATTTGACAATTGATGTTTTTTTAGCTTTATTTTTCATCAACACATTGCACAGGTGTGCAGCAGCCGTCGGGGCTTTGAGTCTTGTTTAAAGGCACTTGAACAGTAAAGAGGAGAGAATAGAATGACATGTCATTTAAAGGTCAGATTAAGGTCGGTTTTGAGATATCTTTCTCTTTCTCACCACTAAAACCAAAAGACAAATTAAAAAATATATACAGTTCATTCAGGGTTTCTGCAGGTTTCAACAGGTTTCAACAGGTTAAAGGTTAAGATAAATGCAATTTAAGACCTATTTCACCTTCATACTGGCAAAAAGTTCTTACGAAAGAAAATCAGTATTGGTTCTGTGTCACTTTCGTTTTGTAGCTGTTCCAGCACGATCAATACAAATCTTACCCAAATACACATTTAAAAGAGACTGAAAAATGCAACTTTATACAAGTAACGTTAACTTCAATCAATTTGTAAGACCTGTGAACATCCTATTCAGACATTTTAAGGCCTAAAATGCCCTATTACTGGATTTTAAACTTTTCAAGACCCCACAGACAACCTGTAATTGAAAAGCAACCGAAATCAACATTATGACTGTAACCAACCTAATTTTAGTCATATTGATATGCGTCAATACATTCACACCTTCATACAAGCTGCTGGCTACCGCTTATAATCCAAATTCAACCATACAGGTCTATATATACTTGGTTATGTAGGTGTTGTCATGTTTATGTTGTATTGTGTACTGTCACTTCTCTAGCAAGTTTGCCTGCTTGTATTTTCTTGAGGGGCACTTTTTATGTAATCCTCACATCAAATGAAATGAAAACAAATAGTGGGTGACATTAACGATTACCACTTATTCATTTTTGTCTGTTTTGTTTTAAACTTTTGAATAGACGACAACAACCAGTTGAGAGGTTTCTGTGTATAGGCTGAGTCAGCAATGTTGCACCAAGCAGTTTTAAGCGACATAATTAACCCTGCATGTCCAGACAGGGAGGTTAAAAACTGTTCAAATGCTAGGGAAATGCACAAAAAAAAGATGTCATTGTCAGTCGTGTGGGCACACTTTGGCTTCAGTCAACATTATACAGGACAAAGCAGAGCTAAATGTAGCAGGAAGTGCAGCAGTGTGCGCTCAGACAGGTGAGCTGGACGTGGGGTTAGCAGTAAACTGTGAATGTGACAGTGAGCCTTCAGTATGAGCAGAAAAATGCTGCAGCTCCTAGAGGACCAAGCAGAGCTTCCGAGTTGTGTTTTACCAGCAGCTGAATATAGTGATGTGGATGTTTACAACTTGAGCAGTAAAGCTCCCCAACTGCAGTCTAAAGGCTGAAACATGTTTGTTTTTTTCATTACCTTAAAACATACAGCTGGAAGAATAAAAGTAAGTAATAGGAGCCATAATTGTGTTATTCTAATCTATTTCTAATATGAATTATTTTGATAATGATTATTGTTTGGCACAAAGAATTAATAAGAGCTCCACTGTAAAGACAGAGAATCATGCACACAGGTGTACTTAATAAGACATTGTTTCTTAATTGTCAGTGAGGGAAATGTGGCAATTAATGGTGATACTGATTTTAGGTGACATTATTTGGTCCTTATACAGAGTAATGTTTCCCTCTGTTAAAAAGTCCCCGGCTGAACAGGAACACTTTCTGGAGAGTCATCACAGATGCTGGCAACTGACAGTGACACAGGTAAAGGCTGCTTGACAGGGAGAACACCACCAGTCAGACATGCTGTGTGCTACTGTGGAGAAATCTGAAAATGTTAGTATGCAATGTAATTGTAGTTAATTCTGTTATTTAGCACTGATCTGTACAGAACACAGCTGCAGACAGGCCTTGATGAATGGTGACAACAAGGGATTTACCTATGAGAGCAGCCTCATAGTCACACTCAATACAGGCTCCGTCTAATTCACACCATCACAGCACCGTTTATGCGCTTGTCTGTACCTTCACAAATATCTTGTAGTAAAATCCAAAAGGAAAAAGAAATGCATTTCCTATAATTTTGCTATTTTACACTATGTGTCAGTATAGTTTAAGTGCAGTGTTAGCATAGCAGAGATGCAAAGCAAACAATGTACAGGGACACATGGACCATTTTGGTGTCTGTGTACTCATCATTGAACATTTACCGGTCAAACTGCTAAAAAACCCTGTTTATACTTTACATGTTGTGCTGCACAGTTGTACATATTCTCAGAGGTTTTTGCTAGATGTGTCAACATAAAATATTAAGAAATACCATATCGTGATATTTTGTTTTCTGAGATTTTTGAGTGTATGTAACACAAACTGTGGGCTATGATGTTGGATGTTACAGGGACTGGGATAAATACAAACAAGATCCTGCTGTAT